TTAAAAAAAAAAAAAAAACCTTAAAAATCTTACTGTTCAATAACTTTTGACTGCTAGTGTAGGCTGATTATTCTTATAGATTGAAACAAATGTGCTTCAGCCAGGATAAAGAGTATGAAAAGTGCTCTGAGTTGCTGTAGAAAACAAAAAAATTGAGCAACAACAAAAACGTTGCTGGAGACGGGCTTATTATTGAAAATGCAAACTGATTGTCTGCCAGCAGGAGGCGCTTTGAGAGCGGTAGAACTAGCCGTTTCCCCAATAACGGCTATAATCAAAGCAGCTCCGCTCATGAACGCTACTTTATCAGAAAAAATTTAAATGCCATTGAACCTTTTCTGAAGACGGTCGGTTCCCTTCAGCGATACATTCATATAAGACACCCGTGCCGCGTTTTGATTTTGAAACGTGCAGTGTTCATGTTTATTCAACAAGTCAAACGCCACAAATAAATCAATGTATGGGAAACACTGGTAATGTATATCAAAATATCGGAAATGTGTTTAAAAATCATATCACCATTATTTAAAAAAATTATATCGCGATAAATATTAATATTTAATTATTGTCCAGCCCTATTAGACATTGAAAACAACCAAGAAAACTAGGCTTGCGGATTTGCTCGCTGTAAAAGTCTGTGCAGGTGAGAAGTCTTATGTCTAACATCACAGCTTAATCTTTCTCCTGAGGTCTTAATAGCAGTCTTATACAGCAGTGTCATGGATATATTTAACAAGGCCTTTTCTCAGTACTAGTTATACAGAGTAAGCTGTGAATGCAACTCTGGTTGAGTTTAATCAGAGCAGAACTGAGAACTGTAAGTTGATTAAGAGATATACAAGGAATCAGTTTATGTTACACAGAAATTTTGTCGTCTTTTATTAAAGACCTGATCACAAAAATAGGTTTTGTTAATCAGTAGTTTGGGAATAGAGAGAAACACACAGTGTTGGAGGTCTGTGTGTTGTTGGCATGGCCTTTATCCATGGAATCTCTGTTTAGGAATCAGAATAAGGTTCTAAAGAAATGTCTTGGCAACCCAGAGTGATAGGTAGACAGCTGCCAGTTCTCAACAGCAGCTGCTGTGGCAGGAGGACGACTTAGTGCTGACACCATTTCCACGTCTCTTTCTGTCTCACACATTCTGATATTATTATGGGCCAGGGTTGCTAATGGACGTTTCATCAATTTACAGGCACTTTCATTTCCCAGGGGTTGATTTGAATTAAACCTGGTTTCAGCTTTTTTCTATGCCTTCAGTTACTTTACTCACCCTCCCAGGGCCGTGCACAGGGGGGTGGCTGAGGCCACTGCCCCTTTGCCCTCATCGGCTGAGGT